CACGGATCGTGGAATGTGACGCAGCATGACCCGGCGGCACACTCTTCGTCCATTGCATCCTCCTCAACACCCCCTGCGTCATCATTCACGGCAGGCCATGTGAAGCCTACTGGGCACCACGGTGGAGGAAAGCCTAAACAGTACGGCGGCGCCAAGCCATATTATGGACCCGGAAAGCCCGCTGGAACAGGTCACTCGAAGGCTACTTGGGGCTCGCCGTCGTTTGCCTCGTCTTCCTCGACATCATCTGCGTCTTCGCTAGCAGGAGGACATGCAAACCCCACTGGACATCACAGTGCCGGAAAGCCGAAGCAGTATGGCGGTTACAAGCCATATTATGGGCCCGTAGAACCCGCTGGAACAGGTCACTCAAAGCCTGCGTCGAGCTCGGAATCGTCTGCCTCGTCATCTACTCCCCCTTCCTCATCTGCCCCTGCACATTCTGCTGCGCCTTACTATGCGCCGTATGGGCCACCCGCGTACGGCAAAGGCAAGCCTTCGCATGGACAGCACTCGTGGAACGCAACTGCTCACTCCAGCCCACCCTCGTTTTCATCGTCATCCTCGCCCTCGTCTGCCGCAGCATCGTCTTCAGATCCAGCTGGATCAACGCACTTCGGAGGCGGCTCGAAGCCATATTACGGCCCTCCTAAGCCGACTGTTTCGCCTTCTTCTTCGACTCCCTCAGTGTCCTTGTCTACTGGTCTGTCATCTGCTCCGCACCATGAGTCGTATGGCCCACCTCAATATGGTCCACGCGCTGTGGCGTACGGAAACCCCTCGTGGAACTCCACGTCTCAGTCGAGGCCCTCGAAGCCTCATGGCAAGCCTGAAACGACTGGGTACTAAATTGGGGTACGTTGCAGTTAAATAGCTTCACGTGCGTTTGCTGATCATTCCTAGCCTATTCTCGCGTCTGTCTCGAGCAGTCAGTCAACCTTGAGATTTGTGTACTAGGAAATGATCACAGCTGGCTCCTCCGATGGTCGTATCCTGATGCACATGTTTCTTCAAGACGCTGGAGTTGGTGGGGTTCATTATGTTATGCTCAATATCAGTGGTACTCTTGGAAAGCTCGAAGTACCACGGGTTTGCGCATTCTGGGGCCCGCACATAGACCAATAGTTCAATAATCGTAATCACAGCCCAATCTGTCTAGGTCTGCATACATCCCTTTCCCATCACTTAAGTTCCTGGTTTATAAACCGAACGGGTCTGCCCACTACTCTCTGTCCCTGAGGTATCGCTTTCTGCAACATTTGTCCCTGCATATCTAGCCACTACAGCTTCGCACTAGCCTTATCCTTCTCGCACGCCTCCCGCGCCGGCCCCATCAAATTACTCAAAAACTCCTCGCTCATTGCCTCTTGCCCCGTGCCACTCCCCTCCGGCGGCGAGACGTTCCATTCGGGAATCACCCGCGAGCCATTCATCGTGACCTCTAGCTGTGTTCCACACGGGTACTCTTTCTTCTGCAACAAATCGAGCAGATGTTTCGCGCATGTGTCAGCCGTCAAGTAGCGATCTGCGGATGCGCTGAACTGCTTAATCTTCGCAGCGTCAAAGAGAGGCGTGAATACGCCCGCAGGACACAGGGAGGTAATCTTCACGCCGGTCAAAGACTCGGTGGTGGCTAGAGACTTGACGAAGCCGACGATAGCGTGCTTGGTCGCACAATATAGCGGCGCAGGCGGGCTACCGGCGATGCCACCAACAGACGCCTGAGGCACGTTAGCAGGCTATCGAAAAATGGGTAAAAGTTCCGTCGGCGTACGATTATGCAGACGCTCGCTCGCTTCCCCCTGCTCAAGCTCTTCCTCATCGCTAGCCTCGTCAATTTGACCGGGTGGTTTACATTGACATCGACCTGCATGTATCCCTTATCCTGCTCTGGATCTTGCCAAAAGTTCGAAAATGGAGGGTCGAAAAGACCAGCGCAAATTCCATATGCGTCCGGTACATCGTTCCATTTCTTCTCGCAGGCGGCAAACATTCGGTCGAAATCTGCCCATTTGGTCACGTCGGACTGCACGTACACAATGTTATCTTTGCCGGCGGCGAATGTGTCAAAGTCGGATGTGGTTTTGAGGTCGGCTACCAGGATTTTTGCGCCGATTTCATGTGCTTGTTTGGTTAATGAAAGTCCGATGCCTGAGGGTGTGAGCTTGGGTTGTGGTTGGGGTTCGGAGTGGTAGTGTACCCGATGCGCCTCCGGTGATTAGCAGTATCTTGCCGTTGAGCGGCTGGTCGATTGAGCCCATGTTGCAGACAATGTATGATTTCTAATTAGGGATTCGCGGGGTTATGTTCTTGGTTTGTTGTATCGTTTTGGAGAAACTGGTATAACGTGATGATTGACGGTATTGTTGCTCTATATTGTTTTCGTCCTATTATGCAAGTTCGGATAACCGTCTCCGGATACCAGGACGATGGCGCATCGGACCCACGCGGGACGAAAAGAGGGGCATCGCATCGTGCGAAAGCGAAAGTAGGATCGTGAATCATTCTCAGTGCACAAAGTGGCCATCACGCAATGACATGACTCGACATGACTCGACGTACGGCTGGCCTTGGTGTAATGAACCAGATGCACCAATAGAAAGCGCCAAGCTTGAGCACACTTCGGGAAGGTCTCTCCCTCTTTGACGAAGTGATAGACAGTACACACCGGCTGAGTAATAAGAGTGTGCTACAAAACAAATGCTTGCAATATAAGAGACATGACTGGAAACCTTGCTTCAAGCGTCGCTGTCTTGATTCGGCATAGTGCCTTTCTCCGCGAGCATCACGTACTCTTTCCATCAACAGCGCCAATTCGCAAAGCGAAGCCAAGATACAATAGTGATACTTTCTCCAACAGGTGGATTAACGATAAAATTCCTTCCGAGATCAGTGCAAACAACCCTTCATTTCACGTCCCATCTTCATCTCGTTTCACCGTCTTCCCATCCTCAATAACCGCGCGTTCCACCCCTGTAGTTATCGCCAAGCTCAACATATCGAAAAGAAATTCTTCATCCTTCTTTACAATGTTCAGGTAGTACTCGTCTTCGTACGCTCTCTCGAAGTCTTCATACGACTTGTACCAAAAGTCCGCGATGCCGTCGTAAGGCATAGTGGTTGATGTCAAGCGAGACTTGTGGGTTGATGTCGTCTGGTACTAGTCGCTTGTTACGAATTTTCTAACAGTTTTGAGAGTAACAAAGGATGAAGATTCCATCAATGTCTGGTGGTGGAAGGGGCCAGTGTGAATCGGATGTGTGACAAGGAGATGGCATACCTGAACATACTTGACACAGCCATATGTCTTGAGCCAGCCCGAGATCAATGGCCCGTGTTTGTTCGCCCAGTGCTCATTGAATTCGTCCTCGGTCAGTTTGGGATTGCGTTTTGCGCAGACTGTGACGCGTACAAGCTGGTCGGCGGACATGGCGGTGTCGCTACAGCTGTAGATGCGAACAGCGCAATTGTTTCAGCACTTTTATTAGAGTGTTACCTGACAACCTTTATCGATGGGAGTCTGAACACTCTTCTAGCAATGGGGAGTAACATGGAGTCATGTCTTGTTATGACATCATGATCGGATGGTGCGCACTAACGTAAATGTCAATACACTATTGCATATGTAGTCGTTCAAATCAACAGAAACTGAAATCAGATGGAATCAGTATCTCGGGCACCCCAGATGAACTCGATTTCGATCCAGCGTTCGATACATCCCGAGTCTTTCCAAATCGCTCTCTAGCAGAACCAACCGCCATCAATCTGCACAGCATTTCCAGTCATGAAAGACGAAGCATCAGAAATCAAGAACTCGATCAGCGGCGGGACCTCCTTCTGATGCGCCGCTCTCCCAAGCGCAAGGAAACTCCAGTCCGCCTCCGCGCCCACAATCTTCGCAGACTCTCTCAACATCGGCGTATCAACCGGTCCCCTACGGTACATTAGTCTAGCCCCTGTGTTGAGGTCCCAACGCAGACTTACGGGCAGATGCAATTCACTCTAATTTTCCGCGCCCCCAGCTCCTTGGCCGCACTCCTCGTCATGCCCACCACCGCATGCTTGGACGCAGAGTATGCAAGATTCTTCGCTGCGCCGATGACACCTAGGATACTAGCTGCGTTGACGATTGCTGCGCCGTCGTTGAAGTGGGGAACTTGTGCGCGCAGACAGTTCCTCAAGCCCACGACGTTGACGCCCATGACGAAGTCCCAGTCTTCGTCGTCGATGTCCTCGATGCCAACGACGTTTGCTTGTCTGCCAATCACGCCAGCAAGGTTGGCTGCGCCGTCTAGTTTTCCGAACTTCTCGACGGTTGATGTGATCCATGATTCGACTGCTTTGCGGTCGCGGACATCGACGACCTGGGACATGACTTGGGCGCCAGACTTCTGGAGTTCGGATTCGAGGTCTTTGAGAGGCTTTTCTTGGACGTCTGCGAGAGATAGCTTTGCACCTTTGCTCGCGAAGAGGCGGGCTGTTTCGAGGCCCATGCCCGATGCGGCGCCGGTGATAACGAAGACTTTGCCGTCCATGGTGATTTCAGATTGTCGTAGAGTAACTCTCGTGAAAAAGATCAGAATATTGTACTTCGCAAGAGGCCAGCGTGGGGTGGGTACGTGGACCAGTCTGTAACCCGAGTATCCGCACGCTTGTGTTTCGTGGTCTACTATTTTATACTAAGAATTAGGTTTATAGTAGTCTCTAGATGTGACAGAGTAAGTAGCATTACAATGGACACATTCGTGCCGTCGTACCGAGACCCCGAGCATTGTGGAACTTCTAGATGTGACTCGAGTCAAGAGGGTGACCTTTCCCGCGACACGAGCTCTACACCTGACCCCGCATTCGTGAACTGACTTCCAAATTACTGATTGAATGTAGCTACATTGCTCTCAATATAGAAGTTAGCAAGTAGACAAGCTTTGGACAAAAAGAGACAGGTGAACACCGTCCATGGTCGCAGTCGATGATGATACATAGTAAAAAAACAAAAAGTCAGGGCCGAACCGGAGTCGAACCGGTGACTTCGGGATAAACGGCTATGGAATGGCTGCAATCCTACACTCTACCACTGAGTTACCGGCCCGTTAAACATTTAGTTGCGAGATGACGAATTGTGAATATTTACGTATATAAAGTATGTGCTATTAATCTAAAAAAGACTGGCAAACGCCTTGGACGATAGAGTTAAGTTTCGTAAGTGGGGTAGAGCGGGGTAATGCTATTGTACTTTACGGAGCCAAACTCTTCCAAACATGGGTAAATGCCAATCCCGCAAGACTAACTTCTCCCTAAGGGCCTCACCATGTACATGGCCTAAGACATATTCACATTTAATATACTGAGCACAACAACAGAAAATTTTGCGTTTTCTCCTTTTCATCTCGGCCAAGCTGCCCACTCACATGATCATTAACGTAGTTTATAAGCGAGTTGCGAATCCAAGCGAGTTGCGAGCCCCACCAACTTTGCGCACCTCTATAGATATAATCATATATTGTTCAACCATCTATCTCTATAATGCCTTCAAAGGAAGCAGATATCCAGCTTACTATTACAGCAGTTACTACCTCGCAGATACAAGCTGTTAGCCGTGCTGCAGCTACGTACAACGTCGTTGAATCAACGCTACGCAACCGACGCGCTGGCAAGCCTGCCCGACGCGATTGCCAGCCCAACTCAAAGAAGCTTACCCAGCTAGAAGAGGAGGTGATTGTTAGACATATACTTAACCTTGATCAACGTGGATTTGCGCCTACGTACGCAGCTGTACGTAATATAGCTGATAAGATCCTGGCTGCGCGCGGCGCAAGTCAGGTTGGCGTCCACTGGGCGCGCAACTTTGTTAAGCGTACAGACAGTCTTAAGACGCGTTTCAATCGGGCGTACGATAGGCAGAGAGCTCTCTGTAAGGATCCTACATTAATAAAGAGCTGGTTTAACCTGGTTGAGCAGACAAAGGCCAAGTACAGTATCTGCGATGATGACGTCTACAACTTTAACGAGGCTGGCTTTATAATAGGCAAGATTTAAACTCAGCTTGTTGTGACAGGGTCAGAGAGGAGAGGCAGGCTAAAGTCTATCCAGCCAGGCAATCGTGAGTAGGTGACGTTGATTGCTGCGATCAACGCTGCCGGCTAGTCAATCTCACTATTCCTTATCTTCGCTAGCAAGTACCACCTCTCAGCCTGGTACGAGGCAGAGATCCCACGCGACTGGGTAATTGCAGTCAGCAACAACGGCTGGACAACCAACGAGCTAGGAGTAGAGTGGCTGAAGCACTTCAACGCTCACACAAAGGCTCGTACAATAGGAGCGCGTCAGCTGCTCATTCTTAATAGCTATAAGAGCCACCACTCTCTTAAATTCCAGGAGATCTGCAAGGAGAACAATATCTACACGCTCTGCATGCTATCTCACTTATCTCACCTACTCCAGCCTCTTAACATTAGCTGCTTCTCACCATTGAAGCGTGCGTACAGCCATAAGATTAAGAGCCTAATCCGCCACCACATCAACTATATTACCAAACTTAAGTTCCTACCAGCCTTTAAGGTAGCGTACAATCGCTCATTCACGTCAGCTAATATCCTCTCAGCCTTCCGTAGAGCAGGCCTTGTACCTCTCTAGCCAGATACTGTCCTCTTAAGGCTGGATGTACAGCTCTGTACACCTACTCCACCAGAGGTAGAGGCTCTTTAGGAGGCTTGTACGCCAAGCAACGTACGTGAGCTTAATGCTTAATCAACTCTAATACGTGAGCGCGTACGCTGGCATAAGAGCTCATCGCCAGCTTCTATTATTAAGGCGATCAACCAGCTTAAGAAGGGCGCTGAGGTGATAATGCTCTCTGCTGAGCTAATGCGCGACTGGATCACCAGCCTTAAGAGAGCCAACAAGGCAGCGTTAAAGCGTAAGGAGCGTAAGAAAAAGCGTATACAGAAGCGTGGAGTCCTTACAAAGGGAGCTGGAGAGGATCTACTTGCTTAACGTGAGGCTGACCAGCAGATTGCTCATGAGGAGCGGCGTGGAGGAGAGCGATCAGGCGTGAGCCGCCAGGCTCTTACGCGCTGCACGAGGTGCAGAGAGACTGGGCACAACTTACGTACATGCAAAAAAGATACTTTAGCTACTACTTCATCTACTACATAAATATCTATATATTATACTGTAAGGTGGTTGAGGTGTATGCCTGTAGAGGTGCGCAAAGTTGGTGGGGCTCGCAACTCGCTTGGATTCGCAACTCGCTTATAAACTACGTTATACTATGTGATCATAATCGTGTCCCTCTTTGGTGCACCAGTGCATCTCGAACGATTCAAGAATATTTGAACATGATATGATTGACCATTTCTACACCTCCTGCTTCCACTCCTTGTTGAACGCGCGTCCAATCACCATTCTCCGCACCTCGCTCGTGCCCGCACCAATCTCATACAGCTTGGCATCTCTCAAGATCCTGCCTACAGGCACTTCATTCATGTAACCCATGCCGCCCATCAACTGCACCGCATCCGCTGCAACCTCACTCGCCCTCTCGGCGGCATATAGAATGGCGCCTGCACAGTCCTGCGTCGCAATCTGAGGGTCCGCATGGGACTCATCCACGGCCCTCGCAATGGAGTAGGTAAACGCCTGGCTTGCACGGAACTTGGTGTACATATCTGCCAATTTGCCCTGGACAAGCTGGTTATGCGCAATGGGGATGCCAAACTGTTTCCGCTGATGGGTATACGGCAGAACATTGTCCAGACTCGCTTGCATGAGGCCAAGTGGACCGGCAGAGAGGACGAGGCGCTCGAGATCTAGACCTTCCATGAGGACGCGGACGCCGCGGTTGAGGTGGCCGAGCATGTTTTCCTTGGGAACGAAGACGTTGTCGAAGACGAGTTCGCCGGTGTTGGATCCGCGCATGCCGAGCTTGTCGAGCTTCTTGGTGATGCTGAAGCCCTTTGTGGAGGTTTCGACAATGAAGGCGGTTATGCCTTTGGAGGCAGCCGAGGGGACGGTTTTGGCGTAGACGACGATGGTGTGGGCGTCTGGGCCCTGATAGACTGTCAGTATATACTCGTGGACATTGTTAACGGGGCAAAACACACATTCGTTATCCACATCTTGGTGCCGTTAAGTAGGTATCCGCCGTCTACCTCTTCCGCTGTGGTCTTCATACTGACGACATCTGAGCCGGCAGAGTGCTCAGACATTGCCAGCGCGCCTATTTGCTCGCCGCTGATGAGGCCGGGGAGATACTTCTTCTTCTGCTCCGGGCTGCCGTTCAGCATCAACTGGTTGACACACAGCTGACTGTGCGCGGCATAGCTGAGACCTATGCTGCCAGATGCTCGCGACAACTCCTCCATGACGACGCAATGTGCCTGGTATCCCATTGCGAGCCCTCCAAACTCCTCGTCCGCTGTGATGCCTAGGAAGCCTGCTTCGCCAAACTTCTGCCACATGTCGTTGGGGAACGCATTGTCGCGGTCTGTCTTCGCGGCCAATTCCTCTGGTATCTCCCGCCGTGTGAATTCGCGTACTGACTCTCGCAGCTCATCGAGGTCGGTTTGTGTGGGCGGCGAGAAGTTGCTGGGGTGCTTTGTCGAGGCGTGTCGGCGTGCGCTGATGGCTGCTGCTTGTGAGCACCGGAACAGGGGACGCGCGTTGCGAGCGAAGAGGCGGGGAGTTAATGAAGCCATTTTCTAAGTCACTGAATATTCTGGAGAGTCTACAACACACACACAAGGAAAATGTCGAAGTTGGCAGTGTGTTCGGCTTAGGGTTGCAGCGGCACAATGCAATTCAGAAAGAGCCGCCGAGGCTCCTTCCCATTGCGGAGAACGCACGGTGGCAGTTGAAGTCTGGGGTAACCGCGGCCCAATTCCGCCTATGCTTCACATCTCAAAGCAATTCAAGATGGTATCGAATTTGATGATTAAACCATCTACAGCTCCTCCACCTTCTTCATAGCGCTCGCATTGCATTCTCCCACATCCAGCGCGACCAGGAACCTGCTCACAGCATTATACGCCGCCACCGTCGCCGTCAACTCAACCACCTGTACATCCCCCAATGCCTTCTTCAGCCTATCCGCCAACACCTCATCCACCTGCACCCCCACCGTCATCTGGTCCGTATACAGCAGCACCGCCCGCTGCTCCTCACTGAACGCCTCCAATGCGCCTTCGTCCGTCGCTCCGCGCTCCACAGCAGGCAACTCAAACACAACCTGCATAGCTGCGCGCGACACACCCGCTTTAATCGCCAGCGCAGCGTGGATGTCCCACTCGTGCACCGCCTTGTTGAGCACCGCGACGCGCGCAATGGCGATTTCCTTGACCGCCTCCGAGAGGCTGGTCTTGGTGCGGATCGCGCCGATGAACGAGTTCCACCCGTCGGCGACCGAGGGGTTGTGCAGGAGTGCGAGGTCGAGGGGGATCAGGGGCCGGGGCTTGCGCCGCTCGGCGATGCGCTCGTAGACGGGGCGCGCTTCTTCGTTTGGGGGCTCTGAGGGGGCGTAGGGGACGCGCATTTTGAGGGATGGGGTGGTGCTGAGGGTGCGGGGGGGGAGTGGGAGGTATGTATGTAGGCGTGGGGAGGTGGGGCGGAAAAGGTATCCTAGGGTGCGAAGGGACATTGGAGAGCTAGAGGTGGGAATACGCGTTAGATGGCTCTTAACCGTCTAAGTTGCCGGAATGGGGTAGTATGTGGTAAGTTGCTCTGCCAGTCGCGTGCGAGTTAATAAGCAATTTCAGGATACCCAAGATCTTGTCATGTAAAGACTGCAGCAGCTCTGTTCTTGGAATTGAAAATTCTTGAAATGGATAATATGCTTTTTATATACATCTAAGCATTCATCGATGCAAACTTCAAAGGTATCGCTATATACAAAATTCGCCGACTCCCATGTTAACTCTCACTCGCACTCGATTCCTACAACCTGCTCGACTCGTCGAAAACGTTTGGCAGCCTTGGAATGCCCTCCAGACGGCCAGTCTTCTTGCCTGTCGGCGCCAATGTGACGTTGTAGAGCAAGTCGAGCTTCGCCTTGGGGTCATTGCTAGGCTTGAAGTCGAGCAGCAGGTCGTCCTT